TTAACAATATAAAAGTCAAAATTTTGTCTTCTGAAAATTTAAAATCTGAATTACTACTTCGACCAACTGTACAATTTATTACAGTTTACAAGTAATCTTTCATTTTAAACTGTTATAATGATAACAGGAAGTTGTTGACTACAGTTTGTTAAGTGCATTACACCTAGTAATTATCAGCTTTGTAACATACTAAATGATTTGTTGTGTTATACCATTTAATTATCAGCTTTGTAACATACTAAATGATTTGTTAAGTGTTATACCTAGTAATTATCAACTTTGTAACAGATTAAATTTGTTAAGTGTATTACAATTCGTAATTATCAATTTTATAACATATTAAATGATTTAAGTGTTATACCTCGTAATCATCAGCTTTGTAACATACCAAGTGATTTGTTAAATGTATTATACTTCGAAATTATCAGCTTTGTAACATATTAAATGATTTAAGTGTTATACCTCGTAATTATTAGCTTTGTAACATACCAAATGATTTGTTAACTGTATTATACCTCGAAATTATCAGCTTTGTAACAGATTAAATGATTTTTAAGTGTGTTATACCTCGTAATTATCAGCTATGTACCATATTAAATGTTATAATACCAGGAAGTTGTTGACTAATGTTTACATGAAATACATTTTGATCATTTAATAATAAAAAACAGAATGGTTAGTTAGTGTAACTTAATTCTAATGTCTTTTATTATTCGTTTTGTACTGATTGTGAACTTGAAATGGAATGAGGACTCTCAAACAAAAGACAAAAATCACAATGACGACTGCAAAACAAGTCTTATTTTCACCCTAAAAAGTACAGAATACAAGGCAAATATCGTACATCGAGTACACTGCTTCCTAACAGTACAAACCTGACAAAATGTTTCATTCATACCCAATTATACAAAACAAGGTTTAAAAACTGACTTAAGGTCTCACACTAACCCTGGGAAAATGCTGATGATCATATGCAGTACATAACATATCAAAGTACATTAGTAATTTCCTTAGCAAATTCAAACACAAACAATACTGATGAAACTGTGTCACAAGTTTATAAAAGAAAAATTCCACTTATATCTTACACTGATGTTTCAATACAAAAATCTAACAATATTAATGTTTCAAGACCACATAAATTGTTATAAAAGATGCAGTAGTAAAGCTTTGTGTATTTTTGTTTTATAAACTTTTTAGTTTTAATGAAACTATTATTTTTCTTATCCAAGAAAATTTTCATAAAGTCAGTTTACATACAATGATAACTTTCACAATTAAACGTAGTTAACTTAATCTTATATTTTGACAGTGTTCATACTCCATAATTTCCTTCTATACATTTTGACCTTTTCATCATAATTTTTATAATGTTTTTGCAAAGTTAATTACAATTCTTACATTAGAAAATTCCGATTAGTTGCTCTATTTACTGAAGTATACTTTAAAAAAGGCCTCCCTTTGATACAAAAAAAAAGGTCTCATTTACTATTCACATAAAGCCATGCTGGTGATGGCTGAAAGGTAAGTCCTTTTAACAACACACAAATTCTATGTTACAAAACTATGAGATACACACATACAAGTTTCCAAGAACTATTCAACAATTTGCACAATATTTAATTTCAAATTCTATTCTTTTTTTTTGTACAATTAAGAACAGTAGATGCTTCTGATGTATACATAGTTTACATTCTGTACACGATAAATTAAAAACCCAGGGTTAGTATGAGCACCAGTTGACAATAGGCTAAACAAGAACATGCGTATAGATCACACTGATACTGATCAAGTCGCACTGGCCAGCAACCAAGTAGTTATGGAAACTGGATCACTCAAAGTTTTTTAAATGCTATCATGTAAAGTCACCTAGGAAACACGTAACCAGGTAAAGTCACGTTGAAAACAAGAATCACGTAAATTTTGACAGAAAGAAGGATGCACATGGGTAATTATTTAGGAAACTAACATAAAAATATGCAACCAAGTAAAGTTATCTAGGAAAAATGAAACCAGGTAAAATCACTTGAAATATACAACCAGATAAAGTTACCTAAGAAATATGCAACCAGGTAAAATCACCTGAAACATACAACCAGATAAAGTTACCTAAGAAATATGCAACCAGGTAAAGTCACTTGAAACATAAACCAGATAGTTACCTGAGAAATATGAAACCAGATAAAGTTACCTGAAACATACAACCAGATAAAGTTACCTGAAACATACAACCAGATAGTTACCTGAGAAATATGAAACCAGATAAAGTTACCTGAAACATACAACCAGATAGTTACCTGAGAAATATGAAACCAGATAAAGTTACCTGAAACATACAACCAGATAGTTACCTGAGAAATATGAAACCAGATAAAGTTACCTGAAACATACAACCAGATAAAGTTACTTAAGAAATATGCAACCAGGTAAAGTCACCTGAAACATACAACCAGATAGTTACCTGATAAATATGAAACCAGATAAAATTACCTAAGAAATATGCAACGAGGTAAAGTTATCTAAGAAATATGCAACCAGGTAAAATAACCTAAAAACATGCAATCAGATAGTTACCAAGGAAATATGCAACCAGGTAAAGTTACCTAGGAAATATGTAACCAGGAAGTTACCTAGGAAACATGCACAGCATGAAAAGAAATTAGTATTTCCAGCAGTGAAATCATATAAAAGTAATAAATATGTTTTATTGTAATAGTTGATATAAAACACTGAACATTTTCTATGCATGGTAGCCGATATACTACAATTTGCTTATCATGTTTACATAAGCTCAAAATCAAAGTAGAATTTTTGGTTAGTAGAAAAGAAAGAATGTAGTTAAACATTTTTTAAACAAAACAGCCGATTATATATGTATTAAATAGTTAAAAAATGTGGTATTCTAATTAATTAAACACCTGGGAAATTATTTTGGTGAAAGCGTACACGACTTGCATTTTTAACCATTTAATGCATTTTCTAATCAGCCATTTTAGTGAAATGTTTTTAGCCAGAGAAATAGTTACATATACATTTACTGGTTTTTAAGCAGATCCTAGAACCTCAAGATAATAGTAAAATATCCATAATTATATCAAACTTTCAAGTTACGTTAAGTTTTTTTTCTGTAAAACTTTGCAGGATTATTCCATGAAGTTAAATGAACAAAGGTTTTAAGTACAAAACAAAACCTAAGTACTTTTCATATCATTAGAATAATGAGAAAAATTTTCAAGGTTAAAATCACGTATTTCATTTTAATTTATAACTTCGTCTGACCTTTTAAGGTAGTTTCTTCTGAATTGTTATTAAAACTAAACTTTTTACAGGGCACAGACTACAGATTGCTATTCCTAATATGATCATGTACGAAAAAATTGTATGCCATATATACACAAGACTTTGTTTCAGAAACGTACTTTCATATTTCTAAGTTTTTTAAATATGAAAGGCAATAATTCATTATTTTATATTCACTTTTTTTTTGTATAAATGCTTTACCAATCACTTTCAAGTCTGTCAAGATGTCTAAAAACATTCTCTATTACTTATAATGAATGTAAAAAAACTAAATAATAGCTTGTGCTTTAACTATCACTACAATGTCAAACTTTATAATGAAACTTAACATTAATGCTTAGTATTTAAGAATAATCCTGCTAAGCCTAAACATCAATTTTTATAAGAATACAAGAAATACTGCTGCCACCTATATGTTGACCTGCATACGAAAGTAATCTACCACAAAAACAAGCATATAATAAAACATAAGAAAATTGCTTTACAAACTATCTACTTTATAAACACATGGCCAAGCACTTGTCCTATTTTATAACAATTTTCATTTTTGAAAACTTCAAACACAAACCTATGTTAAAATTATAACACACATTATAAATGATGGACAAAGATTTTACAACAAAAAAAAATATCTATGATTACATTTAAATACATGCAAATATAAAAATCTACTAACACTGAAGAAGTCTTACCAAGGAAGAAGTTACTAATGTGATTTTTTAAAAAATGTTTTGGTAAAAAAAAACCTGTTAAAAGCCTTGATATTGAAACTATTGCTATTCCTTGCTATAAAGGCATGCATAAGCTAGAAAACGTGGCAAATACTTGTATACACATACATCCTTGTGGGAAGATTTTAAGGTTATCAAAAAAATATATCTATAACAGAGAAACGGCTGAATTATAAATATTGAATATTATTTCTTTTGTTAGCTTTTCACTACACAACAACAACAAAAGATGAATTTCAATTGTTTATGATAAAAACAAGTTTAGCATTACACGGGATGCACCTAATATCTAAAAAGCAGTTTTTCCATTTACTTAGGGCTTCAAAAGTTCTTTAAACACAGATTAGGCCTATATAGATATGTTGATATGGGAGTCTCAACAGTGTACATGTTAGGTAAATAAGGCCTGTACACGGACAAGTACATATATTAGACAAGAATAATAACTATGAAAAAAAAACCTTTGAGTGAACAAATGAAGGTGCTAGACCAAAACGTCTTCAGACAGCCGACAATTTTTGACTATAATGTATAAAATGTGAATGTTTTCTATCAGAAGAAATGAAGTCCTGGTAGAAGATTTCATGACAATGGAATTAAAATTAATTTAAGCTTACTGCTGTACGAAGTAGTTCAATCACAAGCAGCACCAGCGTGAGAAAATCTGAGGTTAGAACCCAATGTACATTTTCAATGAATTTGTGTGTGTGTGTGTGTGTGTGTGTGTCTGGCAAGGCAAACTCATGATACCTGTTAACTACTAATTAGCTCTTGAAATTTACAAATTTACAGCTATACAACACTGCCTTAAGGAAGCACTGTTTGTTGTTCCATTACAGTTATTTCACTATTCTAAATGATACTCAGACTTGAACTATTAGATGGCAATGCGATATGAACATCTATATACAGTTTTTAAACTAAGTGACAAATACTTTCCACAATTCTTTTAAATAAAAAATCAAGTTATAAAAATTTCCCCTTTTCAGCTTTGTTCAACATTCACTGGAAAAAACCAGATTACTTTTCTGTTATTTTAACTGTACACAAACAATGACAAAAATAGTTTTTTAAAACATCTATTACTTACTTCACAACAGACAAAACTAAAACCCACTTACTTTACTTTAACACGTTGATGACAGAAAAAACTTAACTGTGAAAAAAGCTTGATGATAAAAAAAAACTTAACTGTGAAAAAAGCTATAGTTACACTTTTTATATTATTGTTTGTACAATAACTTCTAATTATTCATATCTAGACATAAAATGTATTATAATACAATTTCACATAAAGCTAAAACAATTCTTTTTTGTATAATGTGGTAAAAATGGTACCATCACCAAAATTCAATTTAGAATGAGTACTGCTTTAATCTGTCATGACAGTCATAGTTTCTCTATAACAATGTCTGTTTTTCCATTATTATCTGAAAAACTGCCCCAATTCTTTAAAACAACACTTTGCAAAAATTGTTTTATGGCTTATATTTAAAGCAAAATTATTTTAAATTTGCTTTTAAGAGCAATGAAAATAGCATGCACTGTCATTTTGTAATTGACAAACGAAAGAAACAAAATTTTATTCAGAAATACAATGAGCTTTCATCAGCATTTAAAAAAAATTGGCATTAAAAATTTTCTTAAAAAAAAAAGACCAGGATTGGCTGGACATTTAAATCGTTAGAAAATCTAAATAGATAATTTCATTATCTAAGTTTAAATCCATCAGTAACTTCATTGGTTTAGACATTTTTTGTCTGAACAGTTCAAATAATATTTGAAAATCCAACAGCTGAAAAATGTTCAGACATGTGCATTGACAACAACAGATATATACTCTTGTTCAGAATATTGAAAAGAACCAATAAAATCTTTCAAGAATGAGTACTTCTCAGACTGAACCTAGCAAAAAAAGCCAGTTTGGTTATACATTAAGGAGTAATATCCCACTAGCCTAATTTATCAACTAAAACAAGACATAGGAAGGTTCTGTCTCATGCTGTTGTAGTCTTAAAAGAAAACAAAAACACACCCCCAAGTTTCTGTTACAGTAAAGATTTGAACTTTTAAGACATCTAAGAAAATCTCTGCAAAACATCACAGTTACACTTATAGTAAAACTTATACGCACAAACATGTACAACCAATAATACACAAGGTTAACTACAAAGTTAAAAAAGTACAAAATATAGGTTACACTGTGTACAAAACCAGCTAAAAACACCTAACTACAATGATACAATTCTTGCTATTTTATTTCAATCTACTACTGCACAGCAAGCTCTTTGATAAATATCGTGGGGCCAGAACACGCAAAGAATGTCAAACACAAATTCTCCAAGCAAAACAATAATAAAATATTTTCAGAAAGTTGGAGTTTATAACAAGACAAGTTCTCTTGTTTAATACATGTTCAGACTTATTTTCAAAACAGCAAGTTCAACCTCCTAAGTATTACCAATGTTATTCACAAACAAATGGGAACTATTGGTGGTAACGTAGTTTTTAAATTTCATGACTTACGTCAAAAAAAAACCATCCAATTCTTCTGATTCTGGCACCCACAAACATTGTCAAAAATTTCAAGCAAATAGTCATGAGCAAATTCAAAATTTTCTTTCACTGTCAACTTTCCATGTATTATTTAAATTCATCTCTTGCCACTGTATTGAAGAAAATGACTCATGAAGGCCAAAGAAAGGATTTACTATTGTTACTTCAGATTGGCCAACAATACATATATAATTAAAACAAAAACATCACATCATTCTAAGTGGTCATAAAAGACTACATGCTGTTTATGGACTACTTCCATCCATAAAAATTGACCTGGACAGTGTGTTGTTATAAGAATTAGATACATTCTCTATCTTGAGAATACCAGCAAGAAAACAAACTGTTCATCAAATCAAATACACAAACATCTAACCCTTACTTTAACACTAACAACTTTTATTAAATCACACGAGAGTTTCCGAGATGGTTGGTACACTGGTTTAATTTAAACAAATCTATCAGAAAAAAAAAAGGTTAAACTGATTGGAGGAAAATTTTTTTAATAGAAAAATCAAGTATGAAATTCTTTTTTTTTTTACCAATTAAAAAAGTTTTGATAGAATACCTGAGAAAAAACTTGACCACTGGTTAGCAGTAACAGAGTACTCAGTAAAAACCTCTCATTTGTCCACTTCTTATCTCACAATAATATTACATATACTGATACACTGTATAAATGATATACACATTTTTTTTTTCTAGACAAGGAATTAAAGTTAACTCGTGTATATAAATTTAGATTTTACAAACTTACAATGAATTATATTTTATTACATTTTTTATAGTAAATGCTTTGATGCTTTCAAATGTACCAATGTCAATGTATACTCTAAAATGCATCTCAATGGCATATACAAATGCGCAACACCTTGCAAAGAACTGGTGGTATTTGGCCCCTCCTTGACAGAGACCTACTATATGTGTGTGTGAATATATGTTATACTTCAGATTGCTGTTAAAACAACTTTTAAAATTTCAAAGTTAAAAAATCTAACAGTGTTATGATATTCTTAACTTAAAAAGGGAAGGAGGGGGAATTAAAGTAAAAGAAAAATGCTATAAAATGTTCAGGTGAGGGAAGGAGTTAAGTTGACTGAAATATGTATTCAGTATCAATGTTATATGTCATTTTATATGGTTCCATTTGGTGGTGGACCAATGGGTCCAAGATCACTGTTCTTCATCAAGTACTTCTCCAGCTTGGCTAGAATATGTTTCCCATAAACATATTTTCGGAGTGCTGGGATGTGGGGACGGATTTTGTGGAGCAACAGCTTACGTTGAGCTGGCTCTGCTACTTCGATCATCTTCTGTATCACGTAATTAGCATACTGATCCTTCATCATTGAGTGTAAGGCACTATAGGGGCTAAGATGAAGAAATATGGAATGATAGTACACATACTAAAAATTGAAATAAAAATTAACCATCATAGAACAGGATGCAAGGAAGAAAGATGGTTCACAAATTATATATTAAAAAAGAAAAGAAAAACAGAGCTGTCTCGTTAATGAAAGATGGCAAATACAGGGAAATTCACAAACTACAGTTCAAAAATATTTGATAAGGAAATATCGTCAAGTCAAAAATATCACTATTAAAAACATTAACAAGTGGTTAAAATTAAATCAACAGGTAAAAAAATATGGAGACAAGATCACAGAAATCACTATTCAAAACACGATACACCAAATAATGAAATGGAAGGTTTCGGGGTTAAGAAAATCGTCAAAGAAACACCCAGAAGACCACAAATCAAAATATCATCCAATAGTGTAAATAAATAAAAAAATAAAAGTTGAAATAGAATGAAGATGCCAAGTGAAGGTTGAAAGCTATTTCTTCTGAAAACATTAACTGACCACACACAAACACACACAAAAAAAAGAAGAAAAAAAAAGTTCAAAATACCAGAACACTGAAAGTGCTAAAGAAATACCATACGAATTACACACAACTCGAGCAATTTTGAATAGTTGAATATTATTCTTTAAAAATAGTCAACTATTTGAAAGCACTTGAGTTTTGGGTCTTTTCTGAAATACATTGCATGTTATATATGCAATCCTGTGTGCTAACTCTTCTATCAAAATCTATCAGAGTAAGTAAATTTTGATAGATTTTTTTTTCATGGTAAAACACTGGGCGACAACAAAACCCCCACCCCCAACAAAAACAAGAGACACAGTCATGAATAACTTTCTTGGGGCGGGGGATTGTTTGTTACACAAAGACAGAATCATAAAAGAGCAAATTGTAAAACTTCTAGCAGTAAAAGTAAATAAACAAGAGACTCACCCATCAATAGTAGTGCACACTTCTTCAATAATAAACCCCCACCCCCAACAAAAACAAGAGACTCACCCATCATTAGTAGTGCACACTTCTTCAATAATAAACCCCTCACCACGCCTAACAAAAACAAGAGACTCACACATCATTAGTAGTGCACACTTCTTCAATAATAAATCCCCCACCCCCAACAAAAACAAGAGACTCACCCATCATTAGTAGTGCACACTTCTTCAATAAGACACGCCTTCTCTGCTCTTGAAGAGTATGAGACACACTTCTCCACCACATTACTAGTTAGAAAACAAGACAATCATTATTAAAAAAACTGAGTGAAAAAGAAACATTTACCTATATCAGTATATGGATTTTCCAAGCAAATTTGTAAGATAACTTGCACAATAAAAAAACTAAACTTTGAGTAAAAATTTATACACAGTTACACTTGAAACAATATTTTAGTCCGGCCCATTAATTAATTAAATAGTTGCTTCTAATTCCAATTGACTTATACTAATTCAAAAAAGGACAAACTAAGACTACGTTCTGATTTGATCACAAATTTCTCAGGCTTTACTTTCAGGATGAATAGAACTAAATTAGATGGTTTAATTTGTACTCTGCCTGAAAATATGAATCAGTGCAATTTCTTTTTAAATTTTGAAATGCATTTTAATAAATATCACATACTTAAATACTTCTTACTCTTTTGCCAGTTGTTCAATTTAAGCTCCACGTTTATCAAAAAGGTTTATATGTTAATTTAACACAAAGCTACTTGAAAGCTATCTGCCCCTACTTTTTATGTGAGAGAATAGAGCAAGGGTTCTCAAAGTGTGGTCCAGGACTGGTCCAAAATGCAAGTCATTGACGTGTAAAGCTACAGCCGAGGCCACACACGAGAACAAAACGGGTGGGGTAGGTCAAGTAGATTGTCAACGGGATATTTTGCTCCACCAAATAGGTCTGCAGATGATAAAGTTTGAGAACCATTGAACAAGAGGAAAGGCAGCTAGTCAACACAACCCACAGCTAATTTTTTGGCAATTCTTTACCATTGAATGGTGTGAGTAACCATCACATTATAATGCCATTATGCCTGAGAGAGTAAGCATGTTTGATGAGGGGGGGGTTTTGATTTTGTGATGCACAGATTGTGAATTGAGAATCCTAACCACTAAGTCATACCAGGCATCTAAGGGAAGGTTATCAGGAAGACCAATAATCAAGACGACGAACACTTACCTTGCAAACTTATGTTGAGCAAGTTCAAGAACCTTGCCACGAACCATGGACACAATCTTGCTCTTATCTTCAGGACAGCCATGCTCCAAGACGTGTTGGATAACGTAGTTTCCATACTGGTCCTGAACTAATTGTTCGGTGTGTTGGTGAAGCTCTTCCAAAATAAGCATGGTTTGTTGTGATGTACAATGCTCCAGGATCCTCTGAATCACCCTGCAGCCGTAAGGATGGGTGGAGAGAGAGAACACCTACAAGAGAAAATGGTTAGCAATTCACAATTTCTTAACATACATCCTTGTCTTAACTGATTCTTAAAATAAAGTTTCAAAACTAACTTATACAAAACAAACAGTGCCTTCGGATTACAAAAATTCATCATGAAATGACCAAAAAAGCAATCAAACCAAACATTATGCTAATTTCTAAAAGATCTATTAATTAGGAAAAATATCTACAATATTCTACCTGTCCTTGGAAGGCATTGATGATGAATTGAAGAGCATGTGGGTCTACACACTCGATACATTTCTGAACAACATGGTTCCCATTTTGGTCCTTCACACATTTCAAGACATGCCCATCTAATTCTTTAACCACCTCCCTCTGTAATATGTATAAAAAGTTAAAAGAAATGAATAAATAATACATAACACTAATTGTGCAAAAATTCCCAACAACAAAGCAAGAAAAGAATGATACCACTGGAAAACTTTATTAAATTACTGAAATTCTCGTACAATCTTTTTTACAAATTTGAAACTGTGCAAGTGTATGATAAATATCTCAAAATCAAAAAGTGAACACCTGCCCAGGTGTTTAACCTTTTGCACTTCTTCCAGAATCAGTTTGAGTACAAAGGTGGTAAAATCAACCCAACTTGTTGTCATATAACTATACATACCATAACCCCGAGTGTAGTGTTTCTTTGTGAGATTTGGCAAGCTTGTAGTGAACACTTCAAGTTTTTTTTGTACACAAGACATCAGATATTTTTACTATAAACTTGTAAGTTTGAACATTGTTTACTGAGACAGTCAGAGTGAAAAACTTCTGTTGTGAGTTGGGAAAATGTATTATTGAAGAAGTTTTAACACTGCAATTGTACATTTGACCTTTTCATTATTTATAGATTGTGTTTACATTACTTAGTGTATATACTACTGAAATTATAAAAGCTAAAAAGGGGGAAACATACCCCACACGTCACGTGACAACAAAAGTTTAAGAATATTTTTATAATGATTACTGATCAACTTTACGTGGCTGTTGAATGTTCATAACTAGCACAAAGAGCACAGTCTCCTCTACAAAAAGCTAATTACTGGTTGATTAGTTTTAGTGACTACGTTATTCACCTATTATTGTATTGCTACTTCATACAGCTAACAAACTTTTTAGAACTATTTATAGCTTACTTAGTAATTTGAATAAGTTACGGTAGCTTTAAGATACTCTATTCTAGTGAATATATTTTTTTATTTACAATGTGAAACATACATGAACTCTTCTTTGTAAATCAAAATTTGGGAGACTCGATGAGTCTTACGGAAGATGTCCACTCGAGCACAAAGTGCTTAACCCTACGTTTGTACCCTGGGATTTTTGTCTATCCCAAATATTTTGTAAACAATCTCACAAACAGACGAGTGCACTGAGGCCTTTTCTGTTCTGGTAGCTTCCTAAAACTGCCAATAGAGTACACACCTAGTTTCTCCAATTTGTACCTCAGCCGAGCTGAGAGCAACACATGGTTTCTTGTCACTTGGAGATCAAAATACCCCATGGTACTAAAACAAGGTGTGTTTTTCCAGATTAACTTCCTCTTTAGTACTTGTCATTAATGATACAATAACAGTTTTTAGGGTTTTTCCAGATTAACTTCTTCTTTAGTACTTGTCATTAATGATACAATAAGAGTTTTTAGTGTTTTTCCAGATTAACTTCCTCTTTAGTACTTGTAATTAATGATACAATAAGAGTTTTAGTGTTTTTCCAGATTAACTTCCTCTTTTGTACTTGTAATTAATGATACAATAAGAGATTTAGTGTTTTTCCAGATTAACTTCCTCTATAGTACTTGTCATTAATGATACAATAAGAGTTTTTAGAGCTTATACATGCCAAATATGAAACAATATTTACTTTAGCAAAGATTTCTGGAGAGTATTTTTTTTTTTATGAGGGCAATTTCATACTTTTTATTAGATTGAAGATGGATGACGACAGTGAAGGCGAGAGAATTAGACAGATGTTGGCTGACTGTCCAAGTAACAGTGAACCTGAGGACAATAGTGAGAGTGAATATGATCAGCTTAAAGACAGTCATATCACAGTGTTCAAATCACATTCAAGTTTATATCTAGTGCTTTCAGTGTCAAACGATGGTATCAGATACGAAAGATTCCGAGTAAGCAGTTAGATTAGATTAAATGTAAGGCATTTTCATTGATGTTAGCCAACAGATTATATTTTTAGTTCAAAACAAGTCATATGAAGATGTTTAGATAAAAAAGATTTACTTATTTAATCACGTATTTTTGTAAATAAAGCAATAACAAACATCAATATCCGATATTTTTTTCTATTAACACTACCAAAACGAAACAAAATTCTATAGAATCATTCACAAGATGTTTACTTTAACTACACACATAGATAGATTAACAATCTAATAAAACTTAATTTGTTTTTGTTTTGGTGTGGTACGAAGGTTGTTCCATATAGCAAGGGTACTAACACGGGGTTAAAGTGTTAGTGAACATTAAAAATCCTTTTTTTTGTTCAAATTACATAAACAAACAAACAAAAACAACGTAAAATTTATAAACTTTTCAGCTTAGCCTACCAACACTTCTGTAAAATAAAAATCAAATCTTTTAGAACTATTCATAGCTTACTTAGTAAGATGGACAAATTACAGTAGCCTTATGACATTCTATTCCAGTAAATAAATTTTTTGTTTACAAGATCGTTATGTGAAAGATACACAAAGTTTGTGAGACTCAATAAGGCTTACGAAAGACGTCCACTCAAGTACAAAGTGCCTAAAGTGTCAGTGAACATTACAAATCCTTGTTTTTCTTCAAAATACATAACAACAACTGCTTGTATTGTGATATTACTATGAGGAAAAAAAAAAATTAAACTCATTATGTTCTAGTTTATTTTGTGCAAGTAATTCTTTGTGTTTATATTACAAACTGATTGATATGACTTATGCCCAAGTCATACCAGCTGGCAGTATTCCTACTATAGTTAAAACTATTTTTTTATAAATCATTTCCAAATTAACTTAAGGGTACAAGAAAGCTGCTAAGTCATGAAATTAGCAAATAGCACTTGTTTTAAATGGCTATAATTTGTTTCAGAAATTTGTGCAAAGCTACACCAGAGGGCTATGTGTTCTAGTCATCCTTAATTTTGAACTTGTAGACTAAAGGGAAAGTAGCAAGCAAACAGAACCCACTGTCAACTCTTGGGCTACTTTAACTCAATAGTGGGACTAGACCCCACTGTCAACTCATGGGCTACTTTAACTCAATAGTGGGACTAGACCCCACTGTCAACTCTTGGGCTACTTTAACTCAATAGTGGGATTAGACAGCAACTCTTAAAATGCACTCATATCACCCACAGTGCAGATCACATTTGTTCAGCAACAGGACACGAGTCACGGACACTCAGGTTCAAAGTTTGGCAAACTAACCACTGGGCCAAACCCAGCCTACCTGGTTACAATAAAGAGATATTCAAATAGTGATATAAATTTTATTTTCTCAACAAACAAAATTCTTTAACCTTTATTAAAATGTGCACAGAATCATGAGGTAAAACAAACTACACGATAGAAAGGTTTGAATGATTGAGATTTTACTTTCTTTACCACAGTGTACGAGACTAATAATATAAAATAACAACAAAATACACTTTATTAGGAAGTACTCAGTTTTGTTTTTTCTTCACCCAAATATTAAACTTGTACAAACCTGTTGTTCAGGAGGAATAGATTCCAAAGCCTTCTGTATAACACGGCAACCGTACATCTGTAGTGCCAAAGGTAAAACGTGACCCTTTACTTTTAGTGCTAGTGCCTGTTTCTGTTCTGAAGTACCAAACTCAAAAAACTTCTGGATAACATAATTTCCGAACACATCTGTCATCAGACTATATGCTGCACCTAATATTTCATTAAACACCATCTGTTTTTCGGCTGGAGTTGTTCGTTCTAGTTTTTGCTGAATGAACCTACAAAAGATGATTAAATCATTTGTTTTTTTCAATGTTAAGCTCTAAGACTTATTGTTGAGCTACCAGAGGTCAAAGATTAACTAAAGGTCACTAACAACTATTTCACTAACTCAAGTGAACAATCAAAAATTTGTATAGGCTTTGGAAATTCGTTAAAAATTAAATTCTATATCCAAAACTACCACCAGTTGTTAAGGGTTGGCAAATTGCAGAACAAATTATATATTACACTCAAATACCATGAAGTTTGCAATTTAGTTGTTGAAAACTAATAATAATAATGATTTTTATAGAAATATAAACTTAAAAAAAATAGTTGAAAACTGCTGTATATATAAAATGTGTTACTGTCAGGAAACACTATTCAAGTTATCAACTGTCCTTTAACTTCTAAGATGTCAGGGTGAAAGTCCCTGAAACCAGATTACTTCAGTTACAAGTGGTGATTTGTTCTTGTCCAGGGTTACTGTTGTGGGGTGGAAGTCCCTGAAACCAGATTACTTCAGTTACAAGTGGTGATTTGTTCTTGTCCAGGGTTACTGTTGTGGGGTAGAAGTCCCTGAAACGAGATTAACTCAGTTACAAGTGTCGATTTGCTCTTGTCCAGGGATACTGTTGTGGGGTGGAAGTCCCTGAAACCAGATTAACTCAGTTACAAGCAGTGACTTGTTCTTTTCCAGGGTTCTGTTGTGGGGTGGAAGTCCCTAAAACCAGATTAACTCAGTTTAAAAGCAGTGACTTGTTCTTTTCCAGGGATACTGTTGTGGGGTGGAAGTCCCTGAAACCGGATTAACTCAGTTAAAAAGCAGTGACTTGTTCTTGTCCAGGGTTTCTTTTGTGGGGGTTGGAAGTCGCTTTCATAACTCTAACATAACTTGTTCATGTATACATTTTCTTGCAATGCATCTGTAGTTCAAGAGTACAGTGAAGTGACGAAAAACTGCTGACCAATCTTACTGCTATCCATCAGTATCATAATCTAACATACTATGGAAGACACATATTTTACCTGGATCCATGCTGATCTTGAGAAAATTCTACAATGTGATTGGCTAAGTCTCTCAACTGAAGATTTGGATAACGGTTATTTCTGAAATCCTCAAGCAGACGACTTCGTCCTGTAGGCTTTTCTATATTTGAACTGGAAATTAGAGAAGAATGTCTGATGTCAATGGAATTACACAGTAATTTAGAGAATTGTGAAAAAATTTGGAGCTTCACATAAGTATCATTTTCTATAAATTTTATTTTTTTTCATCAAAAATATCTTTCACTTCCAACATACTATAGCAACAATGAAATGCCTAAATGAAATTAAGATATTTAATAACCTTTTTATTATGGTTACATATACATTGAATATCTATAATAAAAATAAATATTCAAGCTTACTTGCGCTGAAATGAACGGTTTGGAAAAAGGGTATTTGTGGAGCTTAACCCATTGTTGTTCAATGGCCTGCTTCTAACTAAATATTTCGCTTCTGCTCCTGGGGCCGCTGACAACATGCGCCCTCCAAGAACACCTATAAAAACAGTAGCGTAAACCTTTGTAAATCAATACAACTTCATTGAAAAATAAATTCATAAACACAAGAACATATTTTTCCCTCTTGCAATTTAAGATAAAACTAATAATTCTTTTTTCTTTCATCACAACATTTTAACAGATATTGATTTATACATATATATTTTTTACTTTTGTACGACAACAAGAAATACAACAAAATGTTCACCTAAATTTAATGTTGCAGAATTGTTATTGAAAGATGGTGGTGGTGTTAGGCTCTGACTTGGAGGAAGCATGCCAACTGGACCTGGTGAAGCAGTCACAGTCCCCAAAGCACCATAGAACTGAGTAGATTTTGGTGGTGGTGGTGCCATGTGTCGGGAGTACTGGCTCTCAAGACTAGCCGAGATGCCCGGAACCGGTCCGGCACCGAGAGTATCTCGGTGATCGAACATATCTCTCCGCGGAGATCCACCAACATTTCCTAAACCTGAAATTCATAAAATTATTCATGTTGAAAATATCAATAAATTTCATGACGATGTGACAAATAAAAATATTAGCTGCAATGTTAACAAACACTTTCTGTCAAAAGACATTAAAAGTTAAAACTACTTAATTTCTTTGATCCTTACCTTAGGAAGGAAGAAGAAAATATACCAAGTGCAACAATTCTATATAAGATTGTTAGATGGCTTAAGATAATTAAAAACACAGCATTATAGGATTCCTAATGACATAAGATAATTAAAAATTGTTAATTTAAAAGGGGGAATAAGGATCATCAAAAAATATTGAAACAAGTTGAATCAAAATGCAAAGATTATATTTTTAAGCAAACAACTAGGGACTTTAAAAAAAAAAAGTAAACAAACTAGGCTGAAATAGTGTCTACATTA